CAGGACAAATCATTTCCTTTCACAGTTACATGGTTTTTAGAGTTGGAGGGGACCTGGAGTTCATCCCATCCAGTTACTTTCTGGACCTAACTCTTCAAGTGAAATCTTACTCAGAACATTAATCTATAAAATGGATAAAATTGCTGTGCTCCAGGCGTGGCCCTGCCCACTTGACTGCCCCCTCTCACTTCTCTAAGGGGCCCCTCCTCAGATCCCTAGGACCCTGATCCGGTAATCTGGATCAACTCTAGTAATTAGAAAGGTTTTTCCTAAATTGAACTTGTTACTTCCTAATTACTCCAAATTCAGGCCCCTGGAGCAGCACAGTATAAATCTGCCTTGTCTTCTTTAGAAAAACCTTTCAGATACTTGAAGAACACCCAGCATACCTTTCCTGCCTAGCCTTCTCTTCTCCAAGATACATCAGCCTCATTGCCTTTAACCTGACTTTAGGTGGCATGTTTTCAAAGTTTTAGTCAGGAAACTCTTACATTATTCTGTTCCTTCTTCCAGCCTGGAAGCTGGAGACAGAGCTTCTGTTAACTCTTGGTTGACTTCGAAGTTGGTTTTTCATTCCCCTTCCCCATCCCTTACTGTTTCCCCTGGGCTGAATGCGTTAACCTCTTAGAGAAAGCTGTTTATTATCAAGGTCAAAAAAGAAGAAAGACGTTAAAGACCTGGCCTTCTTAGATGGAATTACACTGGCAGTCTCCACTGAATTCCCATTTTAGGACACTGCTCATACAGCAGCTCTCTCTCCAGTCGTCTAGATGCCTGTCCGCGCTCCAGGGCAGGGCTCGCTGCGCATCCTCTCGTTAACATTCTGCCGGCATATCAAGTTTCGTGGGCCCACAGTGATTTTCACTGCAGAGACCGCTTGGCGTCTTGCACGGCGCGGATGAAAGCGGCCTGTGAAGGGAAGCCGCTCCTCTGGCACACACGAGCGGAGCAGCAGATTCCTGCATTGCCCAAGTGCTTCAGTTTCAGTCAGTATCAAAGGCTGTGTCTGCCTTTTGGGAAGGAATAAGTGATGGGCCCACTTTAGACATTAAAATAGAGTATTTCTTGGCATCTGGAAAAGTTGATGTTTTGTACCCTTTGATCTGAGGCCCTGTCTTCTTTCCACTCATTTTAATTGACTGTCCTGTGGTTAATTGTGTTATTAGGTTTGGGAGCATTTATTCCCTTCATTTTCACTGTCTTTCCATATTTCATGTAGAATAGTGCATTCAGACCTAGGTTGAATTTAATTTCATGAACTATATGGCACTTAGGAAGTATCGTTGATGATAATACTCTGGCTTTCTGCATTTTGTTGTGTTTTACCATCTGTGCAACATATGAAAAGTGTTAGCTTTCTGTTCCTTTGCATGCTGGCTATTATCTAAGGCACACAAGATAAAAAGCTCTTGTCCTTTAGGTGTTGCCACTGCAGCCAGGAGTTCTTAACGTGGGGCCCGTAGCCATCTAGGGAAGCTATGACATGCTGTTGGGACTCATTGAACAGACTAAAATTATATGCAAATTTTTGTGTATAAATTCTTGTTCATGTTTTTCTGGAGATTTTTCAGGGCATCTGAAACCAAATAATGATTAAGGATGACTGAACAGAGGTTTCAAGATCTTGAAATTGAATTAGATACATCTTTTAATCAGGACTTATTATGGTGATGTTGATTTTTTTGTTTGTTTTTAAGACAATTGCTTTGAAAATTCTGTTGTAAAGCAACCCTGTAACTGAGCGTCATTCTGCCTTGGTCATCTGATTCAAGGCTAATGTGGTTACCTTTTAGGCACTAAATTCTATATGGAAACCAAAAGAAAACAGAAGAGTGCCATCTAGAGGTCTTAACAATTTCACAACTTTCAAATCAGGCCCAGGCTTTCTCCCTACATGGGGGTCTTTAGTTTGAGTGACTTTCTAGATTAAGAACATTTTTTTCCTCTCAAGTAATTGCAGACCATAAAGGTGTGTGTCAATATTTATAATCCATACAGATGCTACAGTTGTGGGGTCTAGCCTTGCTACTGTGGGAACATAATTTTAATAAAGGCTTAATGTTGTAGGTGGCTTTTACTCTATTTTGTAGAGATATGGGAACTACAGGCTTTAAGAGCCACATTGCATTTGAATATACTTTTAATCATCAAGAACAAATTTATGCCTACTATAAAATCATTTTGAAATAGGGACTTTGCTGTATGTTCTCTTAAAGTTAGAATAAATTAAAAATTGAGTAATTTGTCCTAATTACTCTTGGTATTCCTTTCAAGATGATGATATAGAATGGTGTTTGCCAAATGATGCAGAAATTGTGGGATTGCAGAGTTGAATTCACTCTGGAAAATAGATCAAACAGAATATATATCCCATGAAGACGTATAAAGGGTCGGCAGGAGCGTAGCTCTCAAGTCCCCGCTCTGCCGTTACTGTGCAGTGTTGAGTATGTTAACTTTCTTCTTTTATAAGTGTGGCTAATAATAGTATCTCATTTAGGGTTGTTGTGAAGATTAAATGAAATAGTTGGTAAGCACAGTGCCTTATATATAAAAGGTCTTTTAAAATTAGCAATAATTTATTGTTGTTGTTTTTTTTAAGATTTTATTTTTTTTTCCTTTTTCTCCCCAAAGCCCCCCAGTACATAGTTGTATATTCTTCGTTGTGGGTGCTTCTAGTTGTGGCATGTGGGACACTGCCTCAGCGTGGTTTGATGAGCAGTGCCATGTCCGCGCCCAGGATTCGAACCGACAAACACTGGGCCGCCTGCAGCGGAGCGTGCGAACTTAACCACTCGGCCACGGGGCCAGCCCCTATTGTTATTGTTATTATCACTGACCAGTTTTATTTTCAGGACAACTGTAATAAAAGCGAAACAGACTACTTTTAAAACCTGTATCTTATAGAGAATTTTATAGTTTAAAAAGCATTTTCACAAATAAAATTTTGTTTGATTAGAGTTTCAGTAAATATTTATTCATATATTCAGTAGCTATTTATTCAGCTCCCATTAGGTGTAATAACCATCTTTGGTGTTGGAGGTTTGGTACTAAAAACAGTGGTAAGAACGACATGGACCTTACGTTGGGGGAGTTAGACAATAAACAAGTAAATAAACAAGACTTCACAAAGAAGTCTTAGTGTGAAGAAAATCAGCGTGATGTAATAGACAGTGACTGGGGGCCTACTTTAGATTGATTTACAGGGAGGAACTTTCTGAAGAAATGGCATTTAAGCTCTTTCCCAGATAACAAGATGCCAGCCACGTGAGGGTCCAAGGAGCAACTGTTCCAGCTAAAGGAACAGCAAGTGTAAAGGCCATTGTTTGGGAGCGTGTTATGCATGTGCACAGACTAGAAAGAATGCCAGTGTGGCTGGAGCTCAGTGAGCCAAAGAGAGTGTGGAAGGCGATGAGGTCAGAGACGGAGGCACGGGCGTATAGGCCCAGGACTTTGGAATGTATTCTGTAGATTATAGGAAGAGATTGGAAAGTCGTAGGCAAAGTAGTGCTATGCTCAGATTTTTGTTTTAGAAATATCCCCTCTGCTCCTCTCTGGAGAATAGACTGTAAAGGAGCAAGAGTGGTGGCAGAAAGACCAGGGAAGAGATTTTGCAGTAGTGTAAGCAAAGAGTTGATGGTGGTGTGGATGAAGTGTTGGATTAATGGTTCAGGAGCTTGGATCCTGCCCACAGCTCTGTGCAGCACGGAGGCAGTAGAGCATGTGGTTAGGAGCACCAGCTGAAGAGCCAGGCTGTCTGGTTTGATATCTGACTTACCATGTGACCTTGGACAAGTTTCTTGACTTCTCTGTGCCTAATTTTTACCATCTCTAAAATGGCATTGATGATTGTACCTTCCTCCTAGGATTGCTGTGAGGGTTAAATGAGAGAATGATCATTTGTAAAGTGCTCTGAAGAGTATCTGTTCATACTGCGGTTGTCATCCTCATCACCACTTTCATCACAAGTGCTACTCCCACATTACCCGCAATACCCCCAGTTTACAGATGAGAAAACTTAGAAATAGAGGGTGATTTCGGAATCAGAATATAGGTTTCTCAGGCCGGCCCAGTGGTGCAGCGGTTATGTCCACACGTTCCGCTTTGGCAGCTCAGGGTTCACTGTTTTGGATCCCAGGTGCAGACATGGCACTGCTTGGCACGCGTGCTGTGGTAGGCATCCCACATATAAAGTAGAGGAAGATGGGCATGGATGTTAGCTCAGGGCCAGTCTTCCTCAGCAAAAAGAGGAGGATTGGCAGCAGTTAGCTCAGGGCTAATCTTCCTCAAAAAAAAAAAAAGAATGTAGGTTTCTCGATTGTGAATGCATTGTTTTTTCTGCTATATAATACATAGTATGAGCTCCCAGAGAAAAATATCTATTGATCTGAATCTGTGTAGCTTGGAGCCCAGTTGTATGCACCTGTTAATGTTTAAACAACATTGAGAAAATGATAAATAAGGCTAGCAGAGTCCCAGTGTGTGGTAGGGAGGCATCCTGTGCCTGTGCCTTTCTCCCCGACACCTTGGACAATCAGAAGTTTAAATTCTGACTTTTGAAGAGAGCTTTTGGACACTTAAGCCAAAAGCATTAGTACGCACATGGTAATACATATAGGAGGACAGAACTGAATATTTTGAGAACCTTGTAAGATACTGAATCTCTTTAGAGGACATTCAGTTCTTCATTAACTGTATTAAATGGGGCCATACATAATGTAAATAAATGAAATCCATGGCTTATTCCTAGACCGTTTCTGGTCAGACTTTTAGTGAAGGTATTAACCCAACTACCAGGTTTGAATTTCACTTTTCTTCACCTCTTTCTACCTTTGCCCAGTCCCTACTGGAATAAGCAATGACATAGGTAAGGAGCAAGGAGCAAGAGAGACAAACTAGAAGCAAGGAGCTTGAAAATCTGCCTGCTCACTTTGCCTCCAGTTCCTCAGCCCCAGCGGCGCCTCCCTCTCAGAGGTTGAAGGCAGGCTCTTTGTCTGTTGCAGAGTGTGAGCACTTGATCCGCCACATGCTGGTGTTAGACCCGAACAAGCGCCTCTCTATGGAGCAGATCTGCAAGCACAAGTGGATGAAGCTAGGGGACACCGATCCCAACTTTGACAGGGTGAGCTGGGCACCACTTTCCTCAGGGGACTCCGCTCAGAGCTACTGCAGTCTCTTTTGCACAAGATCGTAATCAGGCCGGGACCTGAAAACACTCGGAACAGACTGATGTGTAATACTAAAGCAGCCAGTGAAGTAAGCACGAGGGAATTGTAAAACCAGCTGAGTTGTTGGAGAATAGGGATACCAGTTCCCTACCACTTGTCCCCAAATCATAGTCCCTTCTTGGCTTTTGAGAAAGTACAGCCCACAATTCTGCAGCTCACCCACCGTGGGGATGTCTCCTTCTTCTTGTCTTAGTGTGCTCAGTTCAATGGCTCCTGTGGCATACCTTTGTTTAAACCGTTATGTCCATCCCAGGTACCCCAAGGAGCTCAGGAAAATGGGGATCTTGTCTGCTGACAGCTAAGTACCTGGGACTGTCTTGCTTAGGCTTTATCTGAGACCAAAAATATCCCAAGCTAGAGGCCATGGAACAGCTTGTTCATTATATATGATATGCCATGTAGACGTGGTTAATGAGGGGTTTGGTAGCTTGCCTTTTTTTATGTTACAGTTAATAGCTGAATGCCAACAACTAAAGGAAGAAAGACAAATGGACCCCCTGAATGAGGATGTCCTCCTAGCCATGGAGGACATGGGACTGGACAAAGAGCGGACACTACAGGTATCTCTCAAGGAGTAGAGAACAAAGTGAGGTGTAGCCATTCTCCCCCTCTGTCCTGCCTTCTCTGTTTTTTCTCCTCCCTGGGAAGTTGGATCTTTCTGTTTTCCTCCTGTTCTTCCTCTGCCCCTCTCTGCCCTTGGAAAGAAGGTGTTTTGGTCTTCTGATGTTACTATTGAAAGGGTTTTGGTCATTGACATACCACTTCACCAGGGTTTTTCACTCTTTTCTCTCTCGGTAGTCGTTAAGATCAGATGCCTATGATCACTATAGTGCAATCTATAGCCTGCTGTGTGATCGACATAAGAGACACAAAACCCTGCGTGTCGGAGCACCTCCTAGCATGCCCCGAGCCATGGCCTTTCAAGCCCCGGTCAGTATCCAGGTGGGTAATGACTCTGGTGACCTGATTCAGGACAGTAACACTGGGGGCTGGCGGGGTGAGAAGTGTTACCCATTGCTTACCAACGCTAAGTCGGGAGAGAGCTTCTTGTTCTTCCTCACCTCTGTCCCCTCGCATCTGTCATCTTTTCCTTTGTCTGAGGTCAAGCAAAGATCTGAACCTTCTTTGACAGAGAGGATGGAAGGGTATTTCAGTACTTGGGATGGGCAACAATAGTTACTTTTTTTCTAAGAAACAGCAAATCATTGAAAGAAACTGTCCTCTATAAAGAATACTTCCTCGTTGTAGTGTCTCAGTGCAGAGGGACCAAAGAGTCAGAGGTAGAAACATATAGACTAGTGATCAAGAATACTTTGGAAGACTATCATTATTTCCCTCTAGTTTTTAAGGTGTGTCTATATGCGTATGTACTCCTTTCCAGGCCGAACAGGCTGGTACCACGATGAACATCAGTGTTCCCCAGGTGCAGCTGATCAACCCAGAGAACCAAATTGTGGAGGCAAGTAGCAGCCTCTGATAGTTGTCAGCTGAAACCGCTTTCTTTCCCATAGCCTTGCTTCCTTTCCTTACTTCTTATTTCGAATTTGATTGTTTCCCTCCACCTCAGCCGGATGGAGCAGTGAACTTGGACAGTGATGAGGGTGAAGAGCCTTCCCCTGAAGCGTTGGTCCGCTATTTGTCAATGAGGAGGCACACAGTGGGTGTGGCTGACCCACGGTGAGTATCTGGCCAACAGCCCTTATAACACCAGGGCAAAGAATCCCCACCTGACTTTGAGTTCCTACCGTGGCAATTTTTCCTACTTCATTGTGTCTCCTAGATGAGACCTAATCCAGTGGGCAAGACATATTTTTAACCCAGTTCAGGGTTCCTGGTAGATCAGACTTGATTTGACTAAAGAATTACAGAGCTGTCCCTAATGGATGGCGGGCCAATAGCCACCATCAGCCAATCGGTGAAGCATGGTAGCATCTTTGCCCACAAAGATTGAGGTCTTCTGATCTAAGTTATATGAAAGTACCCCTTAATTTTCTGTGTTTGACAGCTTTTAAAGATGTTGTTTGCCACATGTTCTTTTTTTTTTAATTGAGGTAACATTGGTTTATAACCATTGTATAAAAACTTCGGGTGTGCATCATTATATTTCTATTTCTGTGTAGATTACCTCATGTTCACCACCCAAAGACTAATTACAATCCATCACCATACACATTTCCACATGTTCTAATGCAAAACTCATCTAGAAGGTGAGGGCAAATTATATGATGTAATTTATATATGTTAAAAATTAAATTAAGTGAACAAGAGTCCAAAAACACTCAGGATAAGTAGCAGTTTCCCAAAGTGTTTTCCCCAAACAGCCCTTCAGAATGTTCCCTGATGCTCTCACACTGGAGAAAGGTTCTGAAGGCCAGCTCTCTCCGTTTTTGTTCTACATTTGAAGACTCTTGACATTAAAAACAGCCTTACCAATTTTCTGGATATTTCCCTGACTGAGTAGGGAAGAGAAGGTTGTGGCAAGAGTTCTCTTGAAAGTCAACTAGGGGCAAAGCTAGTTTTCTTATAAATACCTCTTTTCTCTGAGGGATTTCCAAAAACGCCTCCCGGGCCTGCTGATTTGCTGGCTTTATGTTCTAGTTCTCAGCCCACGATCTAACAGGCAATAAGGGACCATTCTGGCTCCAAAGACTGTGTCAGCTGCAAAGGGGTGGAGTCCTGTGTCGCTCTGTTAGTGGAAGATCTCTTTATTTTAAAGTATGCTGTGAACCCTACTGTTGGAGCACGACAGCCCTGTGTATCCCCTCCTTATCTGGCCTAGCAGCACCAACAGAAGTAATTGCATTCTTTCCCTGGGGAATCAGTTGCTACTTCAGGCAGCCATTGTTTTAATGGATGGCCTGTGTCCTCTAAAACTTGCTATTCACCTCCAGGCTTTGAAAACCTGAACTGGACTGGAGCCAGTGTTTCCTCTTGGCTCAGAGCTGTTGGTTTTTCTTGAGTGGTCAGTGAAGAACAGCGATCCCTAGTCCGAAATAGTATAATGGCAGAGAGCCAGATTTCACACACTACGCTTCCACTTGCTTTGGGATCTTAGAGAGAAATACAAATGTAGGAGGAAAGTAAAAAAAACCTAAATTGTACTGAACTTATCAGTTTCATCAGTTTGAGGATATAAGCACTTTGGAGTAAGAATATTAACCAGACTTCTCTGTCGTCCTGTTTCCTATCAGCACGGAAGTTATGGAAGACCTGCAGAAGCTCCTACCTGGCTTTCCTGGAGTCAGCCCGCAGGCCCCGTTCCTGCAGGTGGCCCCTAACATGAACTTCATGCACAACCTGTTGCCCATGCAAAATTTGCAACCAACTGGGCAGCTTGAGTACAAGGTATCTGGATGTGGGAGAGGGCTTGCCTCAGAGGAAACACATTTGAGCTTCCTTTGAGAGACTGTGAGGGACCTTCCCCAGGACTTAAGGAGGTCCGTATAGGGCAGCGTGATTTCACTTGTATAGCGGCTAGGGTGAGAGGGAAGACTTCCCTAGCGTATATCACAACCAAAGGATCCCTTAATTTCAGTAGATTAGAGAACTGCTGTTTTCTCTCTTCCTTTTCCCCCCAACTCACCAGTCCATCCTTGCCTGACAGGAGCAGTCCCTGTTACAGCCGCCCACCCTACAGCTGCTGAATGGAATGGGCCCCCTTGGCCGGAGGGCATCAGATGGAGGAGCCAACATCCAGCTACATGCCCAGCAGCTGCTGAAGCGCCCACGGGGACCCTCTCCTCTTGTCACCATGACACCAGTGAGTAGCAGCACAGAGCCCAAATTATTATTATTTTTTTTAAGATTTTATTTTTTTCATTTTTCTCCCCAAAGCCCCCCGGTACATAGTTGTATATTCTTCGTTGTGGGTCCTTCTAGTTGTGGCATGTGGGACACTGCCTCAGCGTGGTTTGTTGAGCAGTGCCATGTCCACGCCCAGGATTTGAACCAACGAAACACTGGGCCGCCTGCAGCGGAGCGCGCGAACTTAACCACTCGGCCATGGGGCCAGCCCCAAGCCCAAATTACTTTTTCAGAGGCTTTTGATCAAGAGGTTGTAGGCCTAGGCTTGGAAACCCAGGGTCTCCAACCTAAGTGTCTGAATTTCCTTTCTCTAAGCTTATGATGCATAATGTGTTCCCATTTTCTTCAGGCTAGTAGAATTTTCTGGTCTTAACTTTTGGCTGACTTCTTTACTTAACCAAATAATTTCTACACTAAAGCCTGCTCCTGGAGAGCTTCATCTTCGGTGGGCCCCTTACAGACACCCTCGTTAAGTACAGCTGTAGTCCTCCCGGCGCTGAGGCGGAGGAGTGGGAGCCCAGCTCCTAGCCTTCTCCCAGATAGCTTTTCCCTGCTGGAGGGCAGTGGAATCTAACAGTTTTCTCTGGAATTAATTGCTTTTTTAGACTGGTTTCCCAAATTACCTTCTCACCAACACTTTGTCTGTTGATTAACCCTACCGCACATTTCTGGTGTAACCTGGATTACTTGATTATTTGGCTTTCACAAGCTCTAACCTAGTCAGTTGGTGTCTCTCAGTCCCATCTTTTTTATATGACAATCACATTCAAAGATTCTTTTCCTCCCCTGGGTTCTGTTTATTTCTGGTTGTTTTCCTGTCGTAGGTAAATTCCTTCATTCAATCAGTCAGTCAGTCAGTGAATCTCATAGCACCATGAGATTGGGTACTAATGATATCCATAGCCCTCACTAGGTGTTTCAGGGCAGTCCTCTTAACGTATCTCTAGTTGAGGACTCTTTTTTCCCTTTCAATCCATCATCGATTAATACAATAAAAGTGAATTATTAGAGAAATGAAATTTTTAAGACATATGAAATACATGGCTAAATGTTTTATTCAATTCAACAGGCAAAATTTCTCTGTTAAACTGCTATAAAAATTTCTAAAAGCTTATTCTCTATTTCTGTACTTAACCTTATCAGGAGTTGGTAACAAAAGTTTGTGGACTGGTACAGGTCCATGGGCCACACTTTCAGTAACACTGCTGCCAGGAAAAGGAAAGAGTTAGAGTCATGGTTCTTGGCCTCACCGAGCTTATAATATGGGAAGACAGGATCAACAGACGTGAGGTATTGGAATAATAGTAAAAAACTGTATGTGGTGAAGTGCCAGAGTGAGCACCATGGCCTGGTAGGTGGCAGAGGCATTCAGGGAAGGGCAGGGTCAGTGTCGTTATAAAAGATCAGGAAGAGCTTTCTGGGAGGTGGAGTGACTTATTTTGTCCACTGTAACTGTTTTTGCCAAGGTTACCGACAAGCCTTTGTTGATAAATCCAGTGGGCATTTTTAATCTTTATCTTTCTGAACCTCCCAACTGTATTAGTCACTGTTGGCTGTTCTTCTCCTTGAAATATTGTCTTCCTTTGGCCCCTGTGATACCACATTCTCCTTGTTTTTGTCCTGTCTTTCCTTTTCGGGTTCCCTTCTGCTTGTTCCTTGAAGTTGGTGAAACCTGGAATTTAACTTAGGCCCTATTTCCATCTCATTTTACATGCTCTCTCTGGATGATCTTGTCCACTCCCGTAGTTCAATGACCAGGTGATTCTGCAGCCCAGAAGGCTCTTCTGAGTTCCATACTTCTGTATATGATTGCCTACTGCACAGATTTAGTTGGTTATCCTAAAAGTACTCACAATTTTCATTTGACATGTCCCAGAATGAATTTATCCTGACACTATGAAACCTATTTTTCCTCCTGGGTTACAGTGAATGGCACTGTCATTCTCCTAGTTACACAAGCTAGGAATGTGGATTTTATCTTTAACTCTTCCCTCTCCCTATTTCCTATATCAAATCAGCTATCCATTGCTTGTGAAGTAAATATTTTCCTTCTGTCTATCTCCACTGCCCTTTCCTTAACTCAGGCCACTGTCATCCTTTGCCTAGATGAATACAATGGCCCCCTAATGGCTTCCTTGCTTCCAGGCCTGTCTCCCAGTGCCTGCCACCAGCCCTTTCCACACTGCAACTAAAGCAAGCTAGCTTTCTAAAATATAAATCTTGTAACATCGTGTCCAAGCTTAAAATCCTCTAGGGAGTCACTTTGGTGGCCCGGGGTTTGCTGGTTCAGATCCCAGATGCGGACATGGCACCGCTTGTCAAGCCATGCTGTGGCAGGTGTCCCATATATTAAGTAGACTAAGATGGGCATGGATGTTAGCTCAGGGCTAATTTTCCTCAGAAAAAATAAAGGAAGAAAAAGTGAACTTCTTAATGTGGTATTCAAGACTATTTATAACTGGCCACAGTGTTTTTCTCCTGCCTCATCTACAGCCACTTCCTGCCTAACCCTGTTTACTCCAGCCTTATAGAGCTGTAGTAAGGGATCTGGAAACCCCAGAAGCATTCAAACAATGGAATTATTCCAAAAGTTTTTTTTGTTTTGTTTTATAATTATTGTCCATTAAAAAAATGCTCTTTTGTAATAATTGAAGTATGGTTTTTACTCTAGTGCCTGAGACACGCTGATTATGTGAGCCACCAGGCTGTGAGTAGCTATCAAGGATGCACAGCATTCCAGTCCATATGCAGATGGGAAGAATCACAGTAATGCGTGCATTGTGGTGGTCTCATTTCACTTATATGTTTTGGTGGGTAACAGCTCTTTAAAAGCATTGAATTGCAACTACACAATTGTGTGTTATGTACTTTAAAAAAAAACCATTTTGCTTTTCTGGACTTAAAGGTATCTAAACTCTGAAAATAACATTAATATGAAACAACAGGTCAGTTCCTAGACATTCCAAGTAAACAACCTTCTACTTTGTTTTCAGGTCCTCAGATACCTGCAGACCATCTCTTTTTCTCTCAGTCTAGAAACATCAGAGGCTTGGGACCTCTTTCTCTCTTTGCTTGGCCAGCTCCTATTCATCCTTCAGGCCTCAGGTTAGGTGTCACTTCCTCCAGGATGCCTTCCTCAATTCTCAAGTGCCCTGTTAGAGGACTTGCTATTTTGTAGTTGTCTGTTTACTTGTCTCTATCCTCTACTAGACTGTAAAATGAGGGCAGGAACTATATCTGTTCGTTCACATTTTGTCCTGGAGCATAGTAGGCATTCAGCTATTTGTTGGATGAATAAATGAATGAATGAAGATGAATCAGAGGAAGAAATCCAAATTAAAATCACCTGAGCAAGGTAAAAATGGAAAAATAAAAAGGTATAGGAAAGCTCTGAATAACCCAGGGCTCCTAGAAAAGTTTTGTAAGTAAGAAAATTGACAGCAAGGCCTGCCCCAAGTCCGGTTTCTAGAATGAGAGAGATTACAGAAGAAGCACTACCTTGAGTTTTTCCTTCATGTCTTTCTTCAGGCAGTGCCAGCAGTTACCCCTGTGGACGAGGAGAGCTCGGATGGGGAGCCAGATCAGGAGGCTGTGCAGAGGTAATGTGGCATCTGGCAGTGCTTGCAGAACGTCCTTGGGCAGGCTCCCCCTGCAACCAACGAAAAGTCACCTCTGCCCAAGGAGGTGGTGCAGTGCAGCTTCAACATTTGTGTGGTCTCTTTGCTCAAGCCAGATGGCATGTTCCTCCCCACATGGAAGTAACAGAAGACTATCCAGAAAATTTCATTTCTGTAAGCGCCATTGGAAGTCCCCTCAGTGACAGCAATAACCATAAGAACTTTTTCTCTCCTCCCTCCTTCCTTCCTTGCCCCCTGCCTTCATATTGCAACTTTGATAGTATACGCAAGGCACAAAGCCTGCTCCTACCTGCCAAGAACTGTTTACTGAAAAGGAATTGGAGATTTGGGATGACAGTGATCCTAGCTAGTCTGGCCATGGACCTCTGGCATGGACTCTTCCTTTCCAGGAGAATGGGAATACCTCTTGTACTGTTTGCTGTATGCTTCTTCTATCCCCTTGTACCAACAAAGAGATATTGAAAAAAGAATATGGGATTCGGGCCAGGGACAGATGCACATATCCATTGTTTGCAGAAACTTGTTGAGAGATGCCTGATTCACAGAAAACGGCAGTGACCATCAGGCATGCTGTACTGTCCATTTTACCTCAGTTTCGTTAGCCGTGGTCCTCAGCTCCATGCATGCCTCCTTGTGGGAGTTTGTCTTTCTTATTTTCCGGGGAGGGGGGGTTTGACCAGAATCCAGCATGTATTTTCCCAGAAATACAGGTGTTCTTCAAAATTATATGTTTTTTCCTTGAGGGAAGTTGAAATAAAATGGTTTTCATGGGCTCTTGGGGAAACTTTGGGTGTCTTTATCAAATGAATATTTAACCACTAATGGCTTACTCTTTGGCAAGTTTACATACCACTAATTACTCTACAGCCTGTTAACTGTTTTTAGCTTAAATGAGCAAAACAGTTAAGAATGAAACAAGACCACTTTTTAAGAACCTGACGGTTGCTGGCCAGTACTCTCTTCCCACCCAAGGAGCTCTCTGAGAGCTGCTGTTCAAAAAGAAGCTGGGCCCATGTGGAAAGAACAGTGGAGAACAGGGGTGTTGGCAGGTGGGCCAGCTCCTTCTACAGCTTAGCCAATAGAAGAAGAATTGCAGTGACTTTTTTTTCTCTTGATGCTGTCGTTTCTATAGTTTGCTGATAACAGGGTATGTAAAGTTGCAAATGGGCCCTGCTGGTGTCATGATGGAGAGAGAAATTAGGAAACTTACTGCCTTCCTACCTTAATTACCTCGTTAGCAATATTTCATTTTATCTTCTTTGTCTTAGACTTTACTTCCTCCGGCTCCACCTTATTTCTTTTTTAGACCAACATTTAAAGGGTAGAATGCCCATCAGTTTTGATGTAATGAACAGGAATACTGCTGCTTTTATGCATGCCCGAGAGAGCAGCAGTGGTGGAGGAAGTCACCAACCAGACGAAGGGGGGCTGAGACCTTGTTAATGACATTGACTAGGTGGCGGATCTGAAAGATCTGCGGAGTAAAATCCACCGGCTTGTCAACCCTTCAGCTTTTGAAACTTCTGTTTTCTTGGCTTGCCTTTTTGTCCTCCTAAAAACAGTTCTCAACATTTCACGTGGTTTCATTTCTTCATCCTCTAGAGAATGTTGGTTCCCTGGGAACAACGTCAGTTTTCCTCTCTGATGGTTGAGTTAAGATGATGAGGCATGAGGGAAGGGGGGGTTTTGGAATGTACTATCCCCGAATGGAAGGATCTATTTTCTGTGACTTGTAGTGAGGACAGTCTCAAAACCTGGGGGCCAATGGGATCGAGAGACGTATGTGAAACTCTTCTGAACATCTCCTTTGGCTGATCTCTAGGAATAATCCTTAGGGCTCGTTTCCTCTGACTTATATTTTTGGAAATTTGGAGGGAAAAGAGGAATAAAATTAACAAGTAGAAAATAAGTTCTTCTGCTGAGTGGAATGGAGTAAGGAAAATTGATCCTCTTTGTTTGCTGCATCTGCTTTCTCTCTTCTTTTCAGTGGCTACTCTTAGGTCCAAAATTCAGCTGCTTCAATGGTTGGCCAACTTTTGTTGGACATGTTTCACTTTCATCCAGTCAGGGATCTGTTTGCCCTCGAGCCCTTTTTGAGCTCCGGCACTATTTCATTCTGAGTGCTTTGGATTAACTTCTAATGCTTCTTGCTGAGGAGTATTCCTGTCTGTCTTTTTTACTATGAAATGTGCTCCTGCTTGTTGCAGGTACTTGGCAAATAGGTCCAAAAGACATACACTGGCCATGACCAACCCTACAGCTGAGATCCCACCGGACCTACAACGGCAGCTAGGACAGCAGCCTTTCCGTTCCCGGGTCTGGCCCCCTCACCTGGTACCTGATCAGCATCGGTGAGTAGCCACATGAGCTATGTGAGCTCCTTGAGGCTCATCGGACAGGCACCCTCTCACTAATCTTACAGTGATGGTGACTAGCATCAAGGCTTTAAATAGCATCCTGAACTTACATCTTCTCAGCTCCTTGCTCTAAGCAGTGCCCAGGGCAATATAAGGTTCTTCTTTCCCATTACCTTGTAGACATGTTTATCATCTGCGGTTTATTCTCAGGATTCTAGATGTTGAACTTGAAACCTGGAAGGTGGTGAAGCTCTCAGAAGACCAACTGGAAATAGGAGGATTTGTAGCTGTTTCAATTGACTTGACCTTTAATAACCCATCACCTTCAAAGAATGAGCATTTCCTATTATGTTACCACTGAACAGTGAGCTTGGATATGGAGGAAGATACATCCCTTTGTGAATGCTAGAACAGAGATGTTGCATCCTCTTGAATGTTGTGCTTGAGAACTCATTCTTGCAGTATTCTGAAGGCAAACTCTTTTGCTAGATCTTTGTTACATTTCTAATTCATTCTCTTGAAGAAATAAAAACAAGTTTAACCTTCCTGGCCAAGAAAACTTCACAAAATTGAACCCAAGTACGCCTGGAAGCAGAAGGGAATGACACTTTGCTAGATGAAGATGATTATCTTCTATGAATATCTTGATGACTAAAAATCTTAGCTATCCCCAAGTTCGCGGGCCACACTTTCAAAGCCACCACCAATTGCTAGAGCTTATTTTATTTTGATCTTTTTGGGAGGACTATGAAAAGCAGTCTTATTGGGAAGGTTGAGAAGCAGTGAGATTCAGAGGAAATTAAGTTCATAAATGTACTGTTACTAAATCTTGCCGTCAGCTCACACTGGCAAACTTGACACGATGTTTTTATTGCGGCCAGTTACCCACTGGGCATCAATGTAATCAGCAGAGACAGGTGAACTCTGAGCAGACTGAGACATAATTAGTGCCACGTTGGAACTCTGAAAGAGGGAAGATAAGCTTTATAAATGACCATGAATACCTTAGTAAAAATGGTCTGTTAGGAGTAGCAGGAATGATGATTCTCAGATAAAACTGATGGCACAGGAAGATAGTATTTTTCTTAGGAAAATCTCTCAGGACCTACATTGTTAGAGTACTACGTCAGAGGGTACTTTGAGTGATTATTGGAGAGCTGCCTTTTCCACTCCATAAATTTTCTGTGATTTCTCAATACTCTGAGCTCTATGCTATTACCTAATAGACCCTTTATTACTTTGTTTCTCTTTATTTCTATCTTTCTCTCCTCCCCAGCCTGATACTTAATTTTTCAGCCCTTGTCAGGGTCTGTTGTTTGGTTTCAGTCCTTCAAGTATCCTTATGTAATTTTAAGTGTTCCTCAGGAGGTATTCTTATCAGGGAACTATGAAGATCGGCACATCTCCACAGTCAGCCTTTATCACAGACCCTGTATCCTGTTTACATTTGTTACTAAAGGAAGGCCGCACTGGCCCACAGCTCTGTTTGTGTGGTTTCCACCCTGCCTACAGTCATTGTCAAGGCTGGAAATCTGTCTGCTGTCTGTTTTTGTTTGAACAATCTGGGTAGAGTGTTTCAAGGGTTTCCTGTGGTCAAGCCAGTTTGAATTGGAATGAATGCTTTATGAGTGGCAGATTGTGTAAGGTGAGGCATTTATGCAAACTCAGCATGTCTTGATGGGGGTACTATAAAATACAGCAACACAAGAGACTGAAGTTAGTCTTCAGGGGAAAAGAGAGACTTTCTAAGGCCATAAAACGCAGGAAATGGGTGGCCTCGATAGATTATTGAATTCTTTTCATTTTCTGGAGGAAATGACTCAAGAAGAGCACATATGTCTTCTTCTGGGGTGTAATAGAAGAAGTCCAACATGGAGACAGAAGAGAGGTCTGATCAACTTTTTCAATTGTGGATGTGCGTAATTTAAAGTTAAATTTTTAAAAGTGTAATTTAATAAAAACTAACAAAAGATGGATTTTATTGAGGTGGGGAACCAAGTCACTGTTTGAAGAGTGTAGTGGGAATATCAGCCTAATATGTGGCTGTCTTGAGTTTGAATGTGATTGCTAATAAAAATAAAACACAGCTGATACTATCAGTGCTTCCAAAATGAGCAACTACATCAGAATTATTCCTCTGAAGTTACTGTGCTGGACTGACGTGGGCATCAGTCTGTTCACAGGCTGAGCTTCTGGAAACGTCATGAAATGCCTGAACCTGGGAGTATCGCTCTGCTGAGAGAGAATGGGTTTTGTGTAGTGACTGTATGAAACTACTTAAAGAACACAGCTTTCTGAGTGAATCAGAAATGTGTCTGTCAGAAAATACTGAAAGTGTAAGAATCAAATTCTGGGAGAAAATAGTATTTGCTGACTTTAACTCCAAACACCTGAAGTAGAAACAGAACTAGGAAGCATTGAAGAAATGCTCTTGAAAGCAGCTCTCATAATCACTGCTTCTGGAGTGCGTCTGCTGAAATCATTTGTCTTTTGTGTTTCTGAAACAAATGTATGTTCGTGCTCATTTCAGTAGCTCACTACTGTGTCAAGCTTCAGGTAGAGTCTGAAACAGAAGTCATCGTTAAAAAAAGAGGATAGAGGGCTTTCACCTACTGCCAGAACTCTCTTGACCCCTCCACACAGTCATCAGACCCTCCTAGTCCCTTTTGTCTGCATTGTATTTGAACTCGCTTGTTAACCTGCTTCCTTAGCCTTGGTTCTGCCTCAGTCCAGAATGAGTAACTGGCAACGTGGTGCTTCATTTCACCCATAATTCAGTGTGATGTCATCTTTGCCCTGAACATGAAACCCTGATCCTTTCCATCAGCTTCTGGAATGCTGCTTTGGCAGTCTTTTATCTGCTTACCTCAACCCATAAACATCTCTTTCTGATTACGTACAAGTATAGGTGTTTGCTTCTAACACTGATGCTGTCTTAGGCATTTTTTATCAATAGCTTGTTCTTTCTTTCTGTAAGATACTGGCTAAGTTCTGACTGGGCTGTGGGGTTTTTGAAGGTAATCCACATGATTCCTCTTTCGTTAGGTTGGGAGGGTGCTGCTGCTCTGAGAAGTTAATTTTCACAGTAGGTAATCTTATTTGAGTTGACCTGGTACATGCAGGATCTTGAGGCCCACATTCCTTAAGAATGTGCTGTCTCCATCTCAGGATCAGAAATCTCCATTTTCCCCCACTTTAACCTCCACCCACCATTTTCTAGTACAGAACCTGTGAGTTCCAGCCCAGACCTTTGACCACAGAACTGACTATCATTTCCCTCTGGCTATATGGAGATTACTGCTCAGGGAAACTTTGGGTCAGTGAATTTTAGGTTTCTAAAGGCAGTAGATAGAGACATGATTATAAAAGTAAGAGTTCTGATACAGCTTGGCCTGGGGGATCCTTAGAAGCTCTTGTCTCTGACCTAGTGTATTTGTAAGAACTGGATATATTTGATCCCAGGACCTCACTGGGCTTGGAAATTAAGCCAACTAAAGGTAAGTGGCAATGGAAGATATACACCTGGAGCCCTCTAAAGGCAAGCAGGCTAGGGAAACAACTGGCCTCTGGAGATGGCACGGAAATGGCATAATATGCAGGGCCACTCGTGCAGCCAGCCGTCTTTTGTTCATCTGGAACAGCATTCCCTAGGTGATTTGGTCAAAACCCTTAAGTCCTAGCCCCTAACCTTCTCTTCCCATGTATTCAGCTCTACCTACAAGGACTCCAACACCCTGCACCTCCCCACGGAGCGTTTCTCCCCTGTGCGCCGGTTCTCAGATGGGGCTGCAAGCATCCAGGCCTTCAAAGCTCACCTGGAAAAAATGGGCAACAACAGCAGCATCAAACAATTGCAGCAGGTAATGGAAGAGATGGCAGGCATCTCTGGAGAAGCATGGGTAACAGCGACCAGTATTGCAGGAGGACTGGGGTCTTAAACTTTCTACCCCCTTCCTGTCAGCAGCACAGCAGTTTCATAGGTTCAAAACCATGTAGCTTTCCAATGTGCTTTCCTGACTCCTTGTTATGTACAACTTTCCCTACAATCAAACTTGATTAGCCCATGAAGGGATTAAATTTTCCAGTCTCTGTAGTTCATTGGAGAGGAATCTCTGGGCTTGCGTTTCAGTGGGAAGCACCAGGGAAGGTATTTCTAAGCAACCCTGGCATTTCTCTACTGATTTATGGGTACTGGGTCTTGTTGGAGCCTGCTCTGCATTGCTACCACCTGCCATATTCTCCAGTTGCTGTGGAATGGTGCTCCCAGAGGAAGGAAGTGTACCTCCAGGCTTCTATAAAGGGCCAGTTTCCTGTCTGCCTTTCTGGTGACCAAACTTCAAGTGGCATGTGCTTTGTACACAGATTTTGCCCCGGACACTTTCGCTTGTACATGAGCCTCCTTGGTGTTTTCCATTCATTCATACAGAACAGAGTATGAGTATATTTAGTACACAGATACCTAAATAAATAGGTTAGTTGCTCATCAAGAACACTGTTCTTCTCTCGTGGCCCTTTCTGCCCATGAGACCTTGGGGCAGATCTGCATCTGCTGACGTCACTGCATGGGGTGGGCCTGGCTGCATCCCATCTGTATTAACTACTTTCCCTTCAGGAGTGTGAGCAGCTGCAGAAGATGTACGGGGGGCAGATTGATGAGAGAACCCTGGAGAAGACCCAGCAGCAGCATATGTTATACCAGCAGGAGCAGCACCATCAAATTCTCCAGCAACAAATTCAAGTAGGCCTTCCCTCTTTGCTTTCTCCAACTTGTTTGGAGTTTTCTCTCAGGCTGATTTGCCTGTGAATTTTGGAGGAGATCACACAGGGCAAAGTGGAGTTGAGTTATGTTTATGTTTGACTAAAGGTCATCAGACTTTTTGATGCACAACAAAAGCATGACCCTCAGTCACAGATAGTTCTTTCTGTTTCTTCTCTTCCTGAGACCAGCTCTGGTTAATCTTCCAGCTCGCAGTTATTTTTCTCCTTTCTCCCATGTGTTTTAGGATTCTATCTGTCCCCCTCAGCCTTCACCACCTCTTCAGGCTGCGTGTGAAAATCAGCCAGCCCTCCTCACCCACCAACTCCAGAGGTAATGAATCATTTTGTTTCATGCTTAAGCCATTGTCTCTAGAGCTTGGTGTCCTTGGCCTGACTCATATAGGAGATACTGACTGACTTTAGCATTCATCTTGGAAGAACCTACTGGAAAAGCAGAAAAGCCAATTTAAATTTCAGCAGCCTCCCTAAAATCCTGACTTCCTATGCCACTTCATTTTCTTAGCCCCATGAACGAAGTAATCTGACTTTTAATACCTGAGGTCAGACACAGGTCCACGATGACCTCTGTCTCTTTGTCTGAGACGTCTGTTAGGATAAGATGTGCACAGGTTTTAAGTAGGCTGTGGGGGATGGTTTATGCATGTTTTTCTAGCCTAGAGGCTTATCAAAACTAAAAAAATAGTTTCTGTTTGTGTGTATTGTATGGCTGAAACTAACTTCAGTTATACTGTCACCTCAAGAAAATTATTTTTCTGGTTTTGTTGTTTTTTAAGGTTAAGGATTCAGCCTTCAAGCCCACCCCCGAACCACCCCAACAACCATGTCTTCAGACAGCCCAGTAATAGTCCTCCCCCCGTGAACAGTGCCATGATCCAGCCTCACGGTGAGTGCAGGGGCTTAGGCCGAGCCTGGGATGCCCGTGAAGTGAATGTGGGAGAAATGAGTCAGTCTTGAGTGCCACAAGAAATTGATTTGAACAGCAGAGTAACAGTGTTTAAAGGTATAGGCTCTAGACCCAGACTGCCTTGACGTGAATCCTGTTTCTACCAACTCCTTAGCTGTGAAACCGCGGGTAAGTTACTTAACTTCTGTGTGCCTCAGCTTTCTCAAATGTAAAATAGGGATAAGAATAGTATTTAATCAATGAATATATGTTAAGAACTTGAAATAGTCTCTGACTCAAAATGCTTCTCAATAAAGGTTAACCATTATTAATGTTTTTAGTTAAACGCCCTCCAACTCTACCAAATAAAAAGCTGCTGCCAGAACCTTCCTTATTGTCATGCCTCCGATTGGTTATCCATTATGCATGTGATCCTCTTTTGTGGATGTTTAGATGGAGGTGAAGATGAATACACCCCAATTGGTGTGGGTCTTTAGAGACCAACACTGAGGATTTGGTATCCCCACACTGGCAATCTCTTAAGTGACACCACGCAGTCTGGGTCTCCTGAAGAGTCTCCGTTGGTCTCTGGGCCCTTCCTACTCAGGGTGGGGTTCCCTGATCAACTTGTCATCAGGAAAAGTAGAACCTCAGGGTTCATCCCAGACTCGCTGTATCAGAATCTGCATTTTAGCAAGATCCCCAGGCCATTTGTATGCACATTAGAGTTTGAGCAGCACTACCCTAGATCCAAGCTACTCAGAGAATAATCCATGGACCAGCTTTCAGGCAACTTACTGGAAATACAAATTCTTGGGGCCACACCTTGACCTAGTAGATCAGAATTCTGCAGGTAGGGCCCAGAATCTGTATCTTAACAAGTCCTCCAGATAAGCCTTATGCACACTGAAGTTGGAGAAGCAGTGCTCTAGTTGGTATCTAGTTTGAATATCCTCACTGGCTCCCGTCTCTTACAGCTGGCAGATAACCTGGGCGTTTGGTCACTGTGAGGTTCCTTTCTCTCCAGGTGCTGCATCTCCTTCCCAGTTTCAAGGCTTACCCTCCCGCAGTGCAATCTTCCAGCAACAGCCTGAGAACTGTTCCCCTCCTCCCAATGTGGCACTAACCTGCTTAGGCATACAGCAGCCTACCCAGTCACAGCAGGTGACCATCCAAGTACAGGAGCCCGTTGACATGCTCAGCACCATGCCTGGGACAGCTGCAGCCCCTGCTGGGCGGGGCATCTCCATTAGCCCCAGTGCCAGTCAGATTCAGATGCAGCATCGTACCAACCTGATGGCCACCTTCAGCTACGGGCACCGGCCCTTGTCCAAGCAGCTGAGCGCTGACAGTGCAGAGGCCCACAGGTAAGGCTGCCTAAAGTCACCCAGCCATCTGTTCAGGTGGTCCAGGTGAGAGGAAGCCCCTTAGCAGGGCGAGAGAGGAGGAGGGAGGGAGAACGAGTCTGACTGGGCTGTGCTCATTTCACCTTTTCTGAAATCAGGGTGATGGGTTTGGGATGAACTTGAAACCTATTTGTTGACCCAGCTTCAAAATGCTGCTGAGACAGAGAAGGAAAATGACAAAGCTACCTTCCTATTTGTCTGCAAAGAAGAAAACGGCCTATTAGAGGAGTTTGTAAAAGTGCCACTTCCCCTTGTCTTTTCTTTTAGGATTCTTTCCCTCTCTGTCACTCTTATTCTAAGAGATTTTGCTTTTTTTTTAAAAGATTTTATTTTTCCTTTTTCTCCCCAAAGCCCCCTGGTACACAGTGGTATATTTTAGCTGTGGGTCCTTCTAGTTGGGGCATGTGGGACGCCGCCTCAGCATGGCTTGATGCGCGGTGCCATGTCCGCACCCAGGATCCACACCGGCGAAACCCTGGGCCGCTGAAGTGGAGCGTGCGAACTTAACCACTCGGCCATGGGACCGGCCCTGAGATTTTTGCTTCTTAATAGCTCAAGTGATATTGTAACATATGCCAAGTCGCTCCCTTCAAGCTAAAGCTGCATCTGTTAAATACAGTGCCTTGGGCCCCTTGGAAGTTACTGGATGAGTGAGTGAGGGGATGAGTAGGGCTGATGCATACACCCCCGTCTTCCCTGTCGCACCACAGTTCTCTGTCCCACTGGGGCTCCCTGTTGAAGCAGAGTAGTAGCTATTCCCCAGGGGAGTCTAGCACACTTCTTACGTGAAAGCCTGCTACTCACTCCCTTTTGTGTCTGCAGCTTGAACGTGAATCGGTTCTCCCCTGCTAACTACGACCAGGCGCATTTACACCCCCATCTGTTTTCGGACCAGTCCCGGGGTTCCCCCAGCAGCTACAGCCCTTCAACAGGAGTGGGGTTCCCTCCAACCCAAGCCCTGAAAGTCCCTCCACATGACCAATTCCCCACCTTCCCTCCCAGTGCACATCAGCAGCCACCGCACTATACCACGTCGGCACTACAGCAGGCCCTGCTGTCCCCCACGCCGCCAGACTATACAAGGCACCAGCAAGTACCCCACATCCTTCAAGGACTGCTCTCTCCCCGACATTCGCTCACTGGCCACTCGGACATTCGGCTGCCCCCAGCAGAGTTTGCACAGCTCATTAAAAGGCAGCAGCAGCAGCGACAGCAGCAGCAGCAACAGCAGCAGCAAGAGTACCAAGAATTGTTCAGGCATATGAACCAGGGGGATGCTGGGAGTCTGGCTGCCAATCTTGGGGGACAGAGTATGACAGAGCGCCAGGCTTTACCGTATCAAAATGCTGACTCGTATCACCACCACCATACCAGCCCCCAGCATCTTCTACAAATCAGGGCGCAAGAATGTATCTCACAGGTTTCCTCACCCACCCCGACCCATGGTTATGCTCACCAGCCGGCACTCATGCATTCAGAGAGCATGGAAGAGGAGTGCTCGTGTGAGGGGGCCAAGGATGGCTTTCCAGACAGGAAGAGTTCAAATACATTGACCAAAGGTTGCCATGACAGCCCCCTGCTCTTGAGTACTGGCGGACCTGGGGACCCTGAATCTTTACTAGGAACTGTGAGTCATGTACAGGAACTGGGGATGCATCCGTACCGACATCAGCCAACTGCTGCTTTCAGTAGAAATAAGGTGTCCAGCCGAGGTAAGAGTCCTTTCAAAGTAAAAGTCCTGGGCCTATCTGGCCTAGTTCAATTAACTCTGTAATGTTATCTTTTTTCAGCTAGTACTCTTGTGCTCCTAAGGGAAAAAGAATTCCTAAGACCTTCAGGACCTTCTAGGGGAGAAGCATGTAGAAAGAGGGTATTGATAGGTAAGGGGGTCTGTTTTCAAAATTAAAAGATAGTGATAGAAAATTAACACTTAGATAGTATAGTTAGTGAGATATATTGTCTATTTACCATATTCATGGTTTCTTAGAATCCATGATTTCTTGACTATGACCAAAATAGCTAACTTTAATGTCTGCAATAGAAAAAACGTCGGCCAGTGCTAAGGAGTTATGATTTAGTGTGATTAGTGTTGGGCCAGGAATCAAAGCCCCTCAGTTCTGGACTTGCCGCTATCATGAATGCGATAAGCTTGTTACTTAAACCTCAGGTTCTTCTCTTCCTCATCTGCAAGAAAGGGGCAAAGAAAAACTTTGCAGAGTATTTGTGAAGATTAAAACATGCATGTATGTGTTTCTGTTTATATATAATGTGTGTGTGTGTGTGATAGAAGCACTTGATAATCTGAGTGTGTGATATAAATAATATGAAGTATTATTATTACTCTGATCATTTCATTAATGAACTAAATACAGAATATTACAGCATCATAAAGGGCCTCATGTCATTTCATTTTGAATCACTTTATAATTGAGTACATTCATTTTCATTCTGAAGGAGATTAAGACTACCAGCAGTAAGTTATACTCAGAAATCACAGCATTCATCCAGACAAAATCTGGACTGATGTCCATCCCGTCATCATAGATCTTGAAAGATGAGGTTATCCATAAAATATACAACCCTGAAACTGAGCATTTCTTCCATTCTTCCCTTCTTGGAGCTACCTGCATCTCCTGCCCTGTTCTTTAAAGTCAACACACAGAACTCAACTCCTGGGGGAATTAGGTCCTGTGGCACAGCACAGGCTAGAAGACCTTGCTTTAAATCAGTTCATGTGAAGACTTGATGCCTTCAGTGTCCTCATTAAGCACCAACAGAGGGGGACATTTGATTGTGTAAAACGGCAGTTAAATCCTAGGCTTTTGAACAGATGGGTGCCATCCATTTTAGAGGTCTGCACCAGTCAGACGTATTGTGTCCACCTGTGGCTGCTGTATTTTTAGGTGGAGATAGGATGATGGGAAGTTTCAGAACCAGATCATTTGTGGAAAGGCTGACAGACCTGGCGATGTTTAGGCTTGGGGGAAGAAACTAAGGAAACCAACATACCTGTCCGATGCAAGAAAATATTAGACTTTTCTGGGTTCATTTTATGGAGCAGAACCAAGATCAGGATAGAAGTTGCTTCAAATTTCAAGTCCCTGTGGAAGACCTTTATAAGAACTTTCCAGAGTAGGAGCTTCCTGTGGCTGAGCGTGTTCTAGCAGAGGTAGATTGGTGGTATCAGGGATGCTGTGGAAAAGCTTCCTGCGTGAATGACACCTTTCACCAAATCGGCATACTATAGGTGTAAAAAGGTGTATAGCTCACATTTTTCTAGTGCTTTCCATGTGCCAAACACCAAAGGCTATTCACCTGTAAATTCATTTAATCCTCTAAACAACCCTGTAAGGTAGTAACTGTTATTCCTCTTTTACCAAAGAGACACCTGAGCCACAGATGAAGTAATTTGCCCCCAAGGTCAACAGCTAGTAAGTGGCCTCTGAGCCCAAGAGTTATTCAGTTCACTCCAGCAGACGCTTACTGAGCATGTCCTGGGTGTGCAAGTCACTGAGGAAAGAGCAAGGCTGGAGCAAATAGTGTACACTCCCTGCTCCCCCAATCCTGGATTGCTGTGTATTAAAACCCTTTTTGAAATAGTTTTCCTCAAAAATTGTTCTAATTTCTCTTCACATTTCCCTCCTGTCACTCCTATGTGCAGAAAGACTGGAGAGCTGGAATTTGCCTGTGTCCCATAATTGTCAGAGAAGCCTGCCTGCCGGCAAGCTTGTGATCTATTCAGTGCCTGAAGTAAGGCAGAATGTGGTTGGCACAAGTGGTGTGGGAGCGCGGAGGAGATAGAGATGGTTCTCCATCCGAGCAGTGGGGTGGGGTCAGCAGGAACGGGCATTTGAGTTGGGTCTTGGTAGATGAAGAGAGTTCGCCATTTGGATTTAGGGGAGGAGCCTGAGGAAAGACCACTGGGTGTGAATGTCTCAGGGCTGTTTTCGGGCGAAAGCAAGCAGGCTTGGTTGGTTTGAGTGTGGTGTACGTGAAGGAATTAGTAAAAGTTAGGGGCATAGGTTTTCTAAATCCAGAGTTTAGTCTAGATCTGGCTGCATCCCGTACAAACACCTCTTCTGGTTTCTGGAAGAATCAAGCCTTAAGTATATCCCTACAGGTTTCAGCTCAGAACTACCCTGTCCTTGTTGCCTCATTATAATTTGTGCCAGTATCTTTCCCCAAAGCCCTCTTTTTCCTTAGTCTTTTTTTCCTGACCTTTGATATGAGCTTCTCCAGAAGCTGCGTCCTGCCCTGCTTGCCAGTGTGTTGTGGAGGGTATTCTTCCTTCTTTCTACCCATCTTACCCTTAACTTACTCTTTAATTTTAGCTACAAGTGTACCTTTTTCTTGCTTGAATACTATTCAACTTACCTCTTTCTAACATCTACTCCTATTTTATGACTTTTGAAACCACATATACAGTTGCTTTTAATGAATAAAGCCACAAGTTTATTACCGTGTGAATTTAGAATCCAGTATAGTGACATAAAGCAGTACAGAAATTAATGCCCAAGGGGAGCCCAATACTGCTCACAAGTTGAAATCCCTTTGGGGATGTCCATCTGTGTTGAAAACAATTTCTTATCCTGAGATGTCCCCATTGTCTTTACCTTAAACCACGTGAGCTTACTCTGTGACCGCAGGCCTGGTCTATGACCTGTCCTCCCTTTCTGCATCTATGTAGCGAGGGGTATCAGCTAAATGCCTCCTAAGAGGAGAATGGAATTCATGTCTGTAGTATGCTTGCTCCGTGCTTGGTGCTTGCAACTCAGTTATTCATTTAGTTCTCACAACCACCTTGGGACGTATACGCTATGATCCCTTTTACAGTAGAAACTGAGGCTCCACAATCTTGTCTTGCTTTAACCTGGCATTCTATTCTTTTAAAAACTTGAGAGCTCACAGTTTTACATTACTGAAGAATCATCAGATAATTAGCTGTCACTTTTGCCAAGAAAGGGTTGTAGTGCTGTATTCCCCCACCTTGCAGGCCAGCAGGGGAAGCTCACCCTTGTTGATCTCTTTGGACAGGGAGGAATGGCTGCTGTTTCCTTGAATGGTGCCTCCATCTCTGTGTAGTTAACACACTAGGCCCAAAACTCTTCATCTGTTATTTCCATGACAGAGGAAAGTCAACAAATTTATGGAATGACTAGGTTGCACCAAACTGTTTTGTAGGTGCTGGGGAATGTGGGGATGAAAAGAAAAAGAACTTGCCCTCGGAAACCTTATATTCCACTGGGGGAAAGGAAGACAAGCTCATAAACATGAAGAGCTATGTAGTGAGTGCTGTAAGAGGTATGATTATAAAGAGTAGAGCTAGTGTGATCTCTCTCAAATTTTTTAAGGGTAGGTGAACAGGGGTTGCTGATGTTAGTCAAGGAAGATTAAGTGCCGTCATATATTCCTTTATGGCTGTTTGCCACCAGTTGGTATGGAGCCAGGCACTGCCAGAGCACTGAGCAGGTCGCATGCCAAATGTTTTTTTCCAAACGTGTAGAAGTTAAAGGGCTGTCCACGGCCCACGCTGCCTGTGATCTCCCTGTCCGCCACTCTAGAAGTAGAAATAAGGTTCATCTTCCTTCTGTACTGTTACACACACTTGATTTTTTTTTACTTGGCAAGTAAATAAGGACAACAGCATAACCAGTTTACACAGTGACGTTACCAACTTGGACTCACAAAGAAAACCGCATCCTCTTCTCTGAGCCTAGTCAGCTTCAGCAATATTAGTGGGCTTCTGTCCTCACAGAGGGGTAAAATGATGACTCACTGCAAGGATTTACCCCTCAGGACCTTTAAGAGGAATATGCACACATGTCATTTCTCTCGTTTTCTCTTAAAACCCAGTAAATGAGTAAGGGCGAGTCAACATTGACAGATTCAATAGAGAGTTGTGCAAGCTGCCCCAGAGTTCCCTGGGCAGATGTGTGGTGTGCCTTGTGTCCGTTTGTGAAGTTTTCCCCTGTGTAATCAGAGGCTCATCCTCCCATAGGTAAGTTTGCAGCTCTGCTTTCGTAAATACCCGAGAACACTCCTCTCGGAAGTCCTCTTCCCCCAGTATTTATATATGCTTTGGTGAGCCTGACAACTGCTGTAGCTACTGAATTAGCATAAAGGATGCCAAAGATTTGAGCCTAAATTGCATGTCCTTTGGTCAGTGGGTTAGCCCCCTCCCACTCCCCTGACTGGTCAGTGGGTCGCATCTATAGAGTGTCACAAAGGACTTCTGAGCTCAGGAGACAACACTCTTACTGGGGAGAATACTTTACTTGTGTAGTCTTTTATAACTTACTAAAGATTCTTTCATGTATGTTGTCTTTTGAGCCCCCAAACAACCCTCATTTTTCAGATAGGGAAACTGAGGTGAGGAGAGATGAAATGACTTACCCAAATTCAGACACTCTGTTGGTGGTGGGACTGGATCCTGCCTTCAAGTTTTCTGATCCCCTACCCTTACATTCTTTCTTTTATGCCTCCTTGGCTCCCATTCTACACCTTCCAAGCATATATGCCAAACAAAGGATGCTAGCCCTTCCAGATCTTTGACCTATGGATTATATTGAAACTTGAGCAGACAGAACTCCGGCTTGTTACCCAACTCATGTTAATAAGCTTCTTTTTCATCTAGTTTTAACTTACATTGGTCTCTCTTAAACCAGAGGCTTCTTCTCTGGAAATCAAAGTTTCGGTAACTCATTTGTTCACTTATATATGGGTAAATTGTCCCCATAATTCTGGAAGTTGGGTTCTGTGATAAAAATGTTTCCTTGGTTGTTTTTGTCAACTGGCTCAGTATGTTCTTATCCACTCAGAAATAACATCTCTGAAATGAGTATAAATAATACCAGTCTTCACTGACTCTTACAGTGTGCCAGGTTCTAGTCAGCACTTTACATACTTGTGGAGGAACTCCTGTTTGACAAATAAAGCGACCGAGACCCAGTGAAGTCAGGTAACTTGCCCAAGATCCCACTCTGCGAGAATCCGGGAGAAGCCAGGATCCACACCCAGGTCTTCTTGACCCCAGAGCTTGTGCTTTTGAGCTCTGGCTGGGGAGTCAGGAAGGTTCATCACATAATTTGTAAAGCAGTAGCTTGCTCTGTCTTGATGATACTTTGAGTTGTGTTGGCACCAGACCTGAAGGCTAGGAAGAGAACCGACAAGGAGGACAGGATCCACGTCACGTTCCCAAAGGCAGGGCCAGAAGGAGGATGGGTGTTTGGATTTGGGAAAAACCCATTCTCAGAAAGAAAAATAAACTCAAAAAAAGAGTGAAAGGAGACTTAGCATACATATCCAACAAACAGACACATTGAGGCCTCTAGAAGAAGTGGGAAGGAACTAAATAACAAGAGCCAGAATAGTGTACCTTTTGTTAGCTTTGCCACTTCCTCATGTTTGATAACGATCCTTTAAAAATCTTTAAACAGGAGAGCTGTCATGTTTGTCTTTATGGGGAGCAAAGGGATACAACTGATGAGATTTGCACTCAGCGTTACTATCCAGAAAAAAAGAATTGAGTAGATTCTCTTCTCAAAGAAGAGAATATAGGCATTAGAAGATACTTCGAGAAAGTAAAAAGCACCCACTTATATTGCTCCTTAAGAAAGCAGAGCAAAGAGCCAGTTCCTCGCTCCACAGAGCCAGCATTAGATCACTTCCTGCCAGTGTGTTTTGTTTGATGCTGGGGCCGGCACTTGAGCTGCACCCATGGAGAGGAATTGGCTGGGTGGGTAGACTGGGTGAGCTGATCCCACAGAGCCAGTCTTGGTATAGGCGCTCTTTTATCTTCTTTCTGCTGGCTTTTAGCTTCAGTAGCAAAAGAGTTGGCATCTGGCTGGTCCTTTGACCTCTTTGCTCACAGAACTTTGAAAAAGTTTCTCACTTGCCTTTATCTTTGGTAGTTTGGAAGCTCCCCCTCCTCTCATTTTTCTCCAGAATGTTTTGTCTTACCAACAACCTGCATGTCAGTTAGTTTCCTCCCCCACATCGTACCTCAGCCCCTAAGCCCAGGCCTAACCTTGATAGTTAGAGGAGACCATTTGAATGTAAAGACCTGAAGCCCTTTGCCCAATACTCAAGCAGTACGTTTTACTTTCATTATTCAAATAGATATTAGAATGGTACAGTTAGCATTAGGCTGTGTTTCCTGTTAAAAACTTTTTAGGGGCCAGCCCGGTGGCACAGCGGTTAAGTGCGCACGTTCTGCTTCGGTGGCCTGGGGTTCTCCGATTCGGATCCCGGGTGCAGACATGGCACCGCTTGGCAAGCCATGCTGTGGCAGGCGTCCCACATATAACGTAGAGGAAGATGGGCACGGATGTTAGCTCAGGGCCCGTCTTCCTCAGCAGACAGAGGAAGATTGGCAGATGTTAGCTCAGGGCTAATCTTCCTCAAAAGAAAAAAAAAAAACTTTTTAAAAATCTCATTTTGCCAGGGTACAGTTCATCAGGAGATAAGCCCAGTAGTTGCCAAGGAGCTTTAACTCAAAAACCAACCAAAGAAACAAAACATATGTTCAAGTCCCAGGCTAGTAAGGACTGGAGCCAAAAGTGCTACCAGGAGGATCCTCAAAACTTAGGCATGACCCTGGTATTGTTCTTGACTCCTCTTTCTCTCCAAAATCCAGTCCATAGGGTTTCATGACTCTGACCAATATTATACGTAATAACCAATATTAAGAGAGCATTTATAAATTTCAGTTAAAGAGATCATGTTCTGGAACACTGATGACTCACAGACACGCATAAGATACAATTCTTGTCTTCAAAGAACTTACAGTCTAATATGAGTGATTAAGACAAGTACACAATTGAACATGGTACCAAGAATAATGTTGGAGTAATCAGAGTCCAATAAAATCTTCTGACATTTAAAGAAAGAAAGGATTTATTTCTGTTTGAAAGGGAAGTTTCATAAGGATGATAACCTTTGAGGTGGACCTAGAAGGATGAGTTGATTTTGATTGGCAGGAATGGAAATAGAAGAATCAAGCGTTTCCAGGGAGAGGGAACAGAGCACATGCACAGAATTGTGAATGGGTGGGAAGAGGTAAGTGGTCCCATTTGACTAGAGCTTAAAATATAGGGGAGAGTAGTGTGAGTATCATTGGAAGATAGGCTGGGACTGTGTTGTGAAAATGAAGTGTTGGGGTACCGTATAGAGAGATTAATCTTTGTAGGGTCATAGTGAAGGGATGGTTAGGAGGCTATTGTAGTAATCCTGGCAAGAGGTAATAGGGTCGGTGGAAGCAGTGAGATTGGGAAGAAAGGGACTGAAGTGACCAAAATTGCAGAGGTAGATACTTTAGACTTAAGGTGATGTGGAACCAGAAGTAAGGAATCAACAGGAACCCTAAGAGTTCACACCTACAGGATTAGGAAAATAGGCACCCAAACAAGGATGTCTGAAGGAGGGGCTGGTTGTGAGGGAAGTTGAAATTGGACGTGTTAAGTGTTAAATGTTGGTTAGCTATCCAAGGAAAGATATCTAGTAAATAGTTGGAATTATGGATGTGGAGCTTAAAAGAGCATTCCCATAATTCTTTACATAGAGGCAATATAGTTGAAGCCATGAAAATAGATGATATTGCCAAAGTGTGGGGAGAGAGAGATCAAGGATAGCACTGTAAAGGGTGCTTGCTTATAAAAAGTGGAGGAGCCATGAAAGGAGCTGGAAGTGGTAGTTTGAGAAGCAGAGGAGAGGAGCAGTGTGGTACTCTGAGGTGGAAGCCAAAGAAGGAGAGAGAAAGCATCCACAGAATGGAGGCCATCCTCCCAGGCCAGAGGTTCCAGAAAGCTCCAAGAAGGATTTTTATGTGTGTCTAGGTTTGGGAACATAGCACTGTCAAGTCAGCAGAGAAATGAAGAAAAAAGGAGAGGTTCACTGTGATCCAGCCAACCGCCCATATATTCAATTTTTCTCCTAAGGGTATGACCCCTTCATAAAGAGGCTCATATTCACTGTAGGATGGTGGTTGACCAGCTGGTCCAGGCTCCTCTAAGCACCATCCCCAGCTAGCTGAGGAGTAGCAGCTAGTGCACAGGTGGTCTTCACCCTTGCTCATTGTCCCTTGTGAGACATTTCTTTGATGGGAGTCGACAATGTTGGGAGAAACTCTAGGTCTGCTGACCCTATTTTGCTGTCTCCTCAGAGTCTGTCATAGGGAACTGCATGGATAGAAGTTCTCCAGGACAAGCAATGGAGCTGCCAGATCACAATGGACTTGGGTACCCAGCACGCCCCTCAGTCAGTGAACACCACAGGCCCCGGACCCTCCAGAGACACCACACGATTCAGAACAGCGACGATGCTTACGTATGTTGGTCCCCTCCTGCTTCTAAGAGGTGGGATCCTAGCAGTGCCAACATTGAAAGCAGAACTTAGTAATGTGGGATAGCATTTATTTCTCCATTCTTCTCAGCCAGAGTCCAGCACCTCTGGGAACTACAGGAGCATGTTTTGAACCACCCTAACAGACCAGCCCCTAACTGCAGTAGACTTTCAGTGGAATCTATACCCCAAATTTTAGACTGAGGAATCAAGGGTAGTTGCCATCTGTTCCCTCTAGTCTTCGTTACTGAACTTCTTCCCAAACAGTCTAAACTCAAGCCCCAGCAAGTGCACCCTCAGGCTCTTAGTTAGGTTTCTGGTGGCTGCATTGAATGTGTTCAGAGAAAGGGAGCTGGTCTGGCGTAGCAAAGCTTCGCTTTCCTAGGGCGGACTCTGAGGGCAGTGCTGTCTACTACAGTAGCAACTAGCCACATGGAGCTTTTCAAATTTAAACGTACAGATCTTCCTCGACTTACAATGAGAGTACATCCCAATAAACCCATTATAAGTTGAAAATATGCTAAGTCGAAAATGCATCGAATACACCTAATCTGTTGAACATCATAGCTTACTTAGCTCAGCCTACCTTAAACGTGCTCAGAACACACATTAGCCTACAGTTGAGCAAAATCATCTCACACAAAGCCTATTTTATAATACAGTGTTGACTATCTCATGCAATTTATTGGCTTCTGTACTGAAAGGGAAACACAGCATGGTTGTGTGGGTGCAGAATGGCTGTCAGTGTGTCGGTTGTTCACCCTGGTGATGGCGGGACCAACCGGGAGCTGCGGCTGCTGCCACTGCCAGCATCACAGGAGTGGCTCATGCTGCAGATCAACGGCCCAGGCAAAGATCAAGGTTCAAAATTCGAAGTACAGTTCTACTGAATGCCTATTCCTTTCACACTGTTGTAAAGTCAAAATGTCACAAGTTGAACCATCATAAGTCAGAGACTCTCTGTAATTAAAACAAAATAAAATAAAAATATAGTTTCTCAGTCACACTAGTCACATTTCAAGTGCTCAGTAGCCACTGTGGCGAGTGGCTCCATATTGGACAGGGCAGATAAAGAACATTTCTCTCCTCATAGAGGGTGCTATTGGACACTGCTGTCCTAAGACAGACTCCTAGTGGTAATGGGGATGTGTCAGAAACAGGGTCTTGGTGGGCCATATAGGTGTCAAGGGCATCTGACCAGCAGCAGAGATGCACCGTGCTTTCCCCCACCCCTCCCCACTGCGTGGGGGTAGCTGAGGCAGGATGGCATTGCAGAGGAAGGGAGTCTGGATGGTACTGCTTGGGAGTAATGCCTGAGACTGCTCTTTTAGAGGGAACCGCTATCTCGCAGGGTCACCTGAGAGTGCCACGTTGTCTGGTATCCTTACTTCTTTTCCTAACGTTTTCTACAGGTGCAACTAGATAACTTGCCCGGAATGAGTCTCGTGGCCGGGAAAGCACTTAGTTCCGCACGGATGTCAGATGCAGTTCTCAGTCAGTCCTCACTCATGGGGAGTCAGCAGTTTCAGGATGGGGAAAATGAGGGTAAGGGCCTTATGCATGGGGCACCCCGGGGAAGTTCCTGCAGGCCCCCTCTCCATCTTCACCAGGGACTGCTCCCCTCTTCTGTATAAAGAGTTCATGGGAAAGCAGAGCCACAGCATCCCCAAAGGGTTCTGGACACAAAACCCTCCCCACTTCTCTTCCCCTGAATGTGGGTGCATGAAGGAGCACGTCTTCTGGTTGAGAGCAGAGGTATCACATTTCTGTTTGTGATGCTTTGTAACTCTAGAACTGTTTTTCTGGTTCTGATTAGAGGGCATTGTGTTCTAATGGAATATTCCTCTCTCTCTTAGAACCAGTAAAGGGAGGGCATCATAATAAATATAAAGCATCGGCTTTGGAATGGACAGGTCTGCAGGAAATTCTGACTGCACCCTTTACAGGCTCCACGGGCAAGGTGCTTAATCATTCTGAGCCCTGAGGTTGTCCTCTGTCAAGTGGCAGAAACAGCAGAGCCTGTATCCTAGACTGTGCTGTGACATGAACGGCTTAGTGAGTTTAAAGCACTTAGAACAATGCCTGGAACACAGAGTGGCCAGTAGTCAGTGTCTGCTGGCAGTCGGGTCGTCTTCTCCCTTAAAGAGCTAAGTCTTTGAGAAGGAGCAGTACTGTCTTCTCCCTCACTACAGTAGCTCATAGTGCTTGATGGTGGGAGACAGTCAAGGAAAAGGGAACAATAACACACTTAGAGACTACAGGAAGTATCCTGGCCCCCAGCCCACAGTCACCCAACACGTTGAGGGCCTGTTAGGAGCTCGAATTCAGGTCTGGGAGTCAGCTACAGGGTGCTCAGACTTCTCTCCCTCCCTTCTCTCCCCTTTGCCCACCTACCCTCCTAGCTCCCTGCAAATCTCCTGTGTTCTTTTTGGTCTTGCAGAGAGCGGGCAGAGTCTAGGAGGCCATGAGCACTCAGACCTCACTGATGGCAGCCAGCATTTAAACTCCTCTTGCTATCCATCAACGTGTATTACAGACATTCTGCTCAGCTACAAGCACCCCGAGGTCTCCTTCAGCATGGAACAGGCAGGCGTGTAACAGGAAATGGAGAGTGAGTATCCCCCTGGCCAGGGCCAGACCAGCCCTTTGGCCCAGTGTCAGCTCCTGATCCCGTCAAGAGATCCCTTCCAGGCGTGGTAGCCAGTGAGCTCGCCAACACCACTCTTGCCCTCCTGGTCTTTGCATCTTCCTGCGCTTTCATTAAGCACTATGCTTGTTGTTTTGGGGTGTCAGTAGGGGACACACAGAAGAAATGCTGGCCGTAGTCCCTTGGTTTACTTACAGGGCATAAGACACACGTGTTATAGGTGCCGTAGCCTTCACAGAGACAGTCAGTGAGCTGCAGCTTTAGAGGACAGAGGGGACACGGCCAGGGTAATAAGGAAAGGAGGCGGTCCTCGAACTCAGTCCTGAAGGATGAAACCCAGCAAGAAAACATGTGCAGTCGTATTTTTAAGGCTGTGCTGTAAGTGGCAGAATATTCCAGATGGGGGAAATATGTGATCAGAGGCCAGTGGTAGGAAATGGGTAAGTTGACCAGTTTGTCTGGAGTAATGCCTAAAAGTACATAGTACTGGCTCTGTCTTTGAAAACTGTTTGACAGAAAAGACTTGATGAAAGTTAAGCCATCTGGCAAATCCATATTAGAGCCTCAGTATGGCAAACCTCTTAAAATGCCTGAGGGAAAGTGAACCAGTTGCATTTATGAAGAAGTTTTCAATTGAATATTTGAGACGTCGTCTTTTCAGACTGATTCTCCTCTGTGTCCACTCTGTTGGCAGGTCTGTGTACAGCTCGCAGATGAAGAGGCTGACTTTAAACCAACAGTATCTAGCAGCATTGCACCAAATTGCCATTGTGTTTCTCTCCACCCAGAACGTCATGGCTCCTTTCCTCACATTTGGTTCATCAGTGTGCTGTTCTTTGGGTTCTGAGGGGGTTTTGCCATGTTTGCTTGTATGACCAAGTCACCAAGGAAATAAACAGGAAATCCATGTTCGCCACCTTTTGTGAAAGCGTATTTGGTGTATTTGAGTTGGTGCTTTGGTTTGGTTTGGGTTGGGTTTTGGTTTGTTTTTGTTTTGCTTTGTTTTGTTTTTGATATGTTTTCTTTTGGAGGTGATTTTCTTTCGTTTCTCCTTTTTTTTTCTTTCTTTTTCTTTTCGTTTTTGGGACAGAAAGGCAAAGCAGTTAGAGTACAGAGGCAGGGGACCCACAGCCTCTCCCCTCCCAGCCTCCGCCCACAGAGCACCCTCCAGGCCTCAGCATTGCTCCTCCGAGGAAGCACATTCTAAAGGATAACATCTTCTGGAATCACAGTGGCTGGGAAAGTGAAAGAAGAAGGGTGATGGCCCATGGGACTTGGAGAGCAAAACGTTGAACCTGGGGAGGTCTTTACTGCTGGGATCACTGAAGGACATGTCTTGCCCAGCCAGGATCATATCAGAACATTAGCGTGGAGGCTGAGGGTGACCTGGCGTTGGTGGGCTGCCGGTCAGAATGTCTCAGTGAGAGCCTGCTCTGCTCTATAACTCAGCTCCCCGGCTGTCACATGGCAAGTTGGTTGCCTTTGCCATCCTACTGGTTCCAACCATGGACTGAACACCCAATAGTGGTGCATTATGCTTTTTGTGTCACCTTTCATCCTCATTTTATATTGTGCTATAAAAAGGATTGTCTTCATATATATATATATATATATATATATATATATATATATATATACACACATATATATGTGTGTGTATATATCTATATATGCCTTTCCCTTTCAGCCTCTTTGTCACAAGCAAGAAGAATAGGAGGTTGTCTTGGGTCCTGCCTCTCTCCTAACCTTCTCCTCCTCCGTGGGCATCCTCAGCCCCTATTTTAATTCTTTATCATGTAGGAATTGTTTTTGGTAAATGTTGATATTATTATTATTATTATTATTATTATTAATAAATAAAAACAAAAGGAATTTTTGTTTTAAAGAGAAATGTTTAACCAGATTCTGTTCTATTTGAATTGTGACTTGCACCTTTTGTTCAAAGTATTTTATTTAGACATTGTAATTGTGACCAGTTCTTACTTGTGCCAGTGACAGAAATAGTGGTCTCCTTTCCCCAGTTGAAGCAGTGCATATGCAATAGCTATTGTGTCACTATCTTTATTTTTCTTCACTGTTAGAAACCAAAGTCTTCTCTGCTGGCTGGGGGCTGACAGAGGATCTGGGTTATCTCCTTCTGATCTTCAAAACAAGAAAGAGAAGTTAAATATTCTGACTCTTGATCTTTTTTTCTCATAAAGGAGAGTAAAAGGTCCCCAGTCTCCTCCTAGTCTTTCATCCTGAATTTGCACAGAAGAAAGCGGGTGCCCAGCATGGCCATCCTGATGTCGCTGACGGGATCCCCATGCAGCTTGTCCTTCTCACTGATATTGGCAGCTCAGCTCCTGGACCCAGTATCCCTCGAGTGGATTTCTGCAGAGCAAGAGTCTTTCTTGGGATCTTTTCCATGGTCCCCAATCTCCCCTCCACTTAGCGGGGCCACCAACTACTCACCAGAAGGAGGCTACCAAGAAAGCCCTAACAGCTACTTTTTGACTTCTCTGGGCTTTTTCCAACTCCGATGCCCCCCAACTGCGCCCCTACCCCCATGCTCAGCCTGTTCCGTTTTCATGGTACTGTATTGATGGAAGAGCAGACTGCCACCTCCAGCAACCACCCAGATGAAAGCCAGTGAGCCTATTAACCGTGCCATCTTGCGAACTACACTTTTAAAAAATCATTGCTTTGTATTGTAGTAACCAATATGCGCAGTATATGTTGAATGTATATGGATATACTTTCCTATTTCTGTTCTTTGAAAATGTCAGAAGTATTTTTTCTTTCTCATTTATGTTGAACTAAAAAAGGATTAAAAAAAATCTCCAGACCCAAGTTGCAGTAAGACCTTTAGTCCTTTCTTTGTGGGCACTTAACAACTTAGTAACTTAGTTGGACAGTAGGGGATTGTGAAAATAAAAACCTGATTACGATCTTACGTTGATATATTATTTGCCTTGTGGTTCGGAGTCTCATTGAGAGAAGCATCCAGTTGGGTGGAAGCTGGAACACAGGAGGCTGAAGAAGTCTACCAAGCGTGAGTGGAACTTTGAGCAATCCATTATCTCACCCCAGCTTGTAAAGTAGCATTCTCTAGAACCTTGAACTCAGCTCCGCACTGTGTCCCCAGGGACCTGGCTTGGACTCTGCCCCCTCAGAAGGGAGCATCTGAGTTTGCTGAGTTGGATGGAAAACAGATTCCTTGAGAGAGAGTTTTGAAGGAGTAGAAGGAGGACCTGAAAGAGCTGGCACAGGCTGGGGCCTTTATGAAGTGACCTCAATCAGCCCAGTGATAGGATCACCAAGTAAGTGTTAGGATAGAAAGAGGACTTTATAGTTTTCTCCTTTTCCCGTGCCTGGACTCCAAAGGGGTGGGGTAGAATTTCCAGCAGATCCCAGGCATGGCTAAGGCATGGTTGATTGAAGAAGGGCGACTGAAGCTGGAAATATTGGCAGTGTTTGTAGGAAGAAGACTGACAGGACGGAACTTACAAAAGCTTTTGAGTCCCTGGTGGACTAAAAAGCGGCTGTGGGACTGTTTAGAACTGAAAAGAGCCTTCTCAAGAGGGCTCTTCTAGAAATCTGTCTGTACACACTCCCATGGAAGGCTGCCGAGTGGCTCTGGAACCAAACAGCAGCATTCCCAGATGCCTTCCAACAACTCGTAACAACCTTTTGCAGTAGGTGCCACTCTCTCCCAAAGTCAGCCAGGGTGCCTTTGGGACAAGCACAGAGGAATCAGGGCGTGGCCTCGTGGATAGACCTGGAGGTCTGAGCTCTAGAAAAGCAGCCATGCTGATAGATCCTTATTGGTCTTCTTTCTGACTTTGTGGTAGCCCCTACCTGACTCCAATTGCAAAGATGAAGAATTCAGAAGGCTGGCGTACCTGCCAAGGAGCCAGACCCCTGCTCGTGCTGGTCACAAGGGAGCTCTGCGGTCACCTTAGTCTCCTAGGCAGGAGGGCAGGAGAGAACCTTGCAGTTGGGTGCTTACCATGCACACCCTAGGGTCTGAACTGATGTGGTTTACCACCAGGAGCTGCAACAAAATTGCCAAACAGAAAATACTGAGGGGGGGCTTCTCTCAGGCCTGATCAGTCCAAACCTCCCCACCCCCAGGTCTCCCATCCGGACCTGCACCGGGTGCTCTCAGATTAGAAGTTCTGAGCGGGCTCTGTGATACAGGGCCGAATGCTCAAGTTTCCTGAGTCTCCTCCCAAGGCCCGCCCCTTCAGAAGACCCTTTACCATCCTGGGGACCCTTCCGTTAGTGTGCCAGTGTCATTCATTGAACAAATATTTGTTGAGTGTCTGTTATGTGCCAGGCCTAGCAGGGGCCAGAGTCCTCCCAGTGCAGACTGACCAGCACAACATTGGGACATAAATTGTGAAATGAGTTGCTAATCATTCTGAGCAAAATCCACTCCTGCAGTCAGCTAGCAGCGCTCTCACGTGTGTCGGGAACCCAGGGCCAGCCTCTTGGTGACTCACTTCTGGAGACTGCCAAGATCAGGGGAATTGAGTGGTGGGACTAAGGGCCTATGTTGGTCCCGCCACGCAGCCAGCCCATCCACGGGCACTTGACACCTCTAACAATGACGGGATGGACTGCAAGTCTGATTCTGAGTTGTGCCCGGTTTGGTGGTGGTGGTGGTTGTTCCAGAGGCCTCCATCCAGAAAGGCTTCCTTCTCCAAAATATTAGTAACAAGGGACTTGGGCTGGTTTAAGCCAAATAGAATGAAATGGAGCAGACACTAGTGAGTGAGTGTATTAAAGAAGAAACTGTCCTGCTTGGTAAGATGTCAGACAGCCCTCCCTAGCCCGATGCCTTGAAATCCCCGAGGGGCCGTGGGCATCAGGGCCCTGCTGCTGGCGGCCCTGGGCAACCATCCAAGAACTAGAAGCCGGGCCTCCTGATTCCCAAGTCCCGCGGACACCGAACACTGACGGCCGGAGAATGCAGGGCCGCTCTGCAGCTCCGAGCTGCAGTCTTCGCTCGGGCAAAATAACGAAGAGAATATCTGGCCTGCTGGCCTTACGGGAACATACTAAGTCAATTGTGAAAGTGGCCACTAAAGAACTGTGCAAATGTTGGATACTAGGTTTAGCCATAGTAACTATTTCAGTAGTAAACCAAAGAGAAGGGTAAAACAGTGGCAAGTAGCTTGGAATCCAACCAGTAAGTGTCTGAGATCCCCTGTGTGCTGGCGGGGACAAGCTCTACCCCAGAATGAAAAGAGCCTCTCTTGGCCTGAGACACCAGGGAGCTGCCCTAGCAGGGGAGCGGCCTCCCTCCCACTCTCTAAACAACAGGCAGGAAGCTGGGCTGGCCAAGTGGCAGCCCAGGCAGACTGTTTACTGAGGCCGCTTCTCTCTCTGCACGGTCCACAGGCCTCTGGAGGGTGGGAGGGCGGGGCAGGCAGTCCTGGAACAGAGGTCCCACATCTCAGCATCTGCAAGTCAGGGCCACACAGAGAAATACGATTCCCTGCCTTCCCCCGCTTCTGCTGCCAGAAGCCGAGGTCTTAGCTCTGGTCTGACAATGCAAGTGTATTCAGGGGGAACAAGGGGATAGAATGCCAGAAATTGGGATTCTGGGACATGGAAGAGTTTGTTTACTAAGTGCCAGGTACCTTTCCATTTTGCCATACATGTTCAAATTGAGTGCTTAAAATAACACAAATTCATTCTCTTACAGTACCGTTATGGAAGTCAAATGTCCAAAGTGGGTCACACTAGGCTAAAATCATGGTGTCAGCAGAGCTGTGTTCCTTCTGGAGGCCCAAGGAGAAAACTCCCTGCTTTGCCTCTTCCGGCTTCTAGAGGGCTGCCCACATTCCTTGGCTCATGGCCCCCTTCCAGCAATCACATCACTCTGACTTCTCTTTCCATCCTCTCTTCTCCTTCTCCAACTCTGCCTCTCCTGCCTCCCTCTTGTATATCTAAGGATCCGTGTGATGGCATTGGGCCCACCTGGATAGTCCAGGATGCCTGCCCCCTCTCAAGGTCCTTATGATCACATCTGCAAAGTCGCTTTTGCCGTAAGTGGGAGTCACAGGTTCCGGAGAGGAGGACACGGACATTGTGGGGAGGCCATTATTCTGCCTGCTATACATATTATCCCTACCCCAACTCTAGGAGATGGCATGTTCCATCATTATCTTCATTTAACAGATAAGAAACTGAGGTGTGAGGAGGGTATGTAACTCACCCAGGGTCATACAGCTAATAAGTGGCAGAGCTGGGAGTCAAATCTAAGACTGGTTCCAAAGCTTTCTTCTCTGAGGCCAAAGGCATGAGACTGGCGAGGGCGGGAGAGGCCTGGAGCCCGGCTACACCCTGGTCTGGCAGACAGTGGCCCCAGGCTGTTGTTCAGAAAGTTAGGGAGTTTCCTGGGTAGATGGTGCAGGGCACATTCTGCCCTGGGTCCTAATTCCAAAGACCTGGGTTCGAAGTCCAGCCCTGCCTCTAACTCCCTGGGAGACAAGAGACAGTGGGCAAACTCCTTTCACCGTCTTCAGTTTCCTCGTCTGTAAGATGGTGGGGTGGGGAGAGGCTGGAGTAGTTGATCTCAAAATTCCTCTCAACTTGAACATTCGCAGGTTCTAGGACTCAGGCCCTGTCAGTGACCTGGCGTTGGAGGGCCTGGGCTTTCCAGGAGAAACCTTACACAATGGTGCCGTGAACACACAGCACTTTCCATTCACAGGATCTCTCCGGGTCTTCCAGCAACCCCGCCATTCTTGTCTCCATTTTCCTGATAGGAAACCAAGGCTCAGAGAGATTACATAACTGGCTCATGACACTCCTCCAGGATTTTGCAATTTGGAGGCAAAATGAAATGAGAAACCAGGTCTTTTCTACCTCCCGGAGGTCTCTCCCCAACACCGGTGAGCTCAGGGCTGGTGCCCATTCTCACCTGTGCCTGATCAAATGTAAACACAAACAACACGAAGATACAGGTATTCAATTTAAGTGACTTCTTTATTCTGAGATTATGCCCTTTCTAGGTGTTAAAAACTCTTTTTTGAAGCGCTGCTCCTGATTAGATGGTAGGCTTTGGGTGGGAGGGGCAGTGGGAGATTTTTACAGGACAAAATTAAAAGCTGGCAACTGTGTTGGTCTCTCAAATTTGTTTTGAAATGGCAGAGGTCTCTGAATTCTCAAAGTCTAGGAGCCCTGAGCACTCTCTAGCCTTCCCAGGCAGCTCCCTAGCACCACACGGACCTCTTGGGATGAGCCACTCGACAGAGTCTCGGTGGGAGGGCTGTCTACTGCCTTTCTGGGGCTGGGGACAGGGGTGGGTGTGACATAATCTCCCTGGAATGCAAGGGGACGGGAGAGGACATCTCATGAGTGGAGGAGTCCCAGCCAGCTTGTGTATTTTTCTTCCTTCCCTCCTCTCCCCGGGCAGGAGGCTGCGCTGGCACAATGGACAATGGCGGGCACACCGCCCCCCACCGAGGAGGAGGGGATGGATGCAGCTGACCCCGGCCCAGGAGACCTGCCAGCCTGCAACCACCTCCTCCCGCCCCCTCCTGAACCCTTGATCCCTGGCCCTGCAGCCCCCACAGCTTCCTGTTTGCCCACTCTATTTGCCAGGCCCCAGGGACGGGGCTGATCCTTGAACTCTAAGTTCCACATCGCTAGGACCAGTGAGCGGTGGCAAGGCCTGGGCTGGGCTTATCAGCCTCCCAGCCCAGCCCCTGCCTGGAGACATAAATAGGCTGGGGAGAGCTGGCTGCGCAGAGATTCCTGAGGCGCTGGAGGTAAGTGCTGCTGCCTGCTCCAGGCTCCTCTGGCTCCCCCCCCCCCCCCCCCAGGCTCCAGGTGCAGGAGGCTCAGACTCTGGGATTCTGGCTCCAGACTCTGCCCCATGCCCCTGATCTGGGGCTCTGGAGACCTGATGCCTGCTCTCACTCTGTGCCCCTCCTCCCC